TACAATTCAATATAATTAAGATTATATAACACTTTTTTTGCCATATCTTTTTTATTTTTTTGGATAACGAGAATATCCAATGCGGGAATGTAATTTGTTGGGTTTGAAACCACAATTTTGGTGTGATATCGCAACCTCACATAGACATGGGAGGGTGATCACTTGGGCCATAAGATGATTGGCAATTTCTTAATCATATCATAATTTAGTTGAAATTATAAAAATTATGGAATGCATATTCCTTATTTTCAAAGAAGTTTATAAATTAAAAAAGTGTTTATAAGTTAGACTGCATATTAAAAATATAATTTAACTTATAAATTTATTAAAATATTTTTCATGATATTCATATGTTGTTTCATTAATGATTTTATTAAAGATATTTTAGTAAATTTATAAATTAAATGTATTTTTAATATACAATCTAATTTGTAAAACAATTTTTTTTTTATAAATTTATTATATATTTATAATTTGACAGAAAAATAACTATCATATGTACCAAATAAACCCTTAGACTTTGGTTTCCTTTTTTTTTTTTTCCCCCTTTTCAAGATTTGTTATAAAAATTAATTAAACAAAAAAAAAACTACATAATTTTCTTTTATTGAATGGAAAAAAAATCTATACATCTTTGATTTGATGATGATCATGGACGGTGGTCCCAATTTTCCCAACAACAAACAAACAAAGCCCACCATTACAAATATTTTAAGTTTAACCCAACAGCTCACGGCCCATTGGTATAACCAACGCATGCGGCGTACATTAGCAGCAACCCTCTTTTTATCTCCAGACGTTTTTCCAGTTTACTCTCTCCACAATCCCATTTTCCTCTTTCCCATCTCTGATTTTTCCAAAATCCTTTCCGATTTTCTTTCGATACCTGAGTTAGGGTTTTCTCAGGAGCTTCGTTATGGGATTTTTCGTGGAAGAAAGTATGGAATTTGAGCTATTGAGGTGAGTTTTGTTATGGGTTAGTCTTCTTCGTTTTGAAATCGCTCTCTGATTTGAGGTAAAGGATTGAAGGTTCTCTGAGATTAATCAAGCATTTATTTTTCCTTTAAATTAATTGGGAATTAGATTTCATGGAAAAAGGACTGCCCTGTGGGTCGCTGGAGTGTAAGGGGTGGTTTTTCTAGATCAATGGAATTAGGGTTTAATTTGTTGATCCAGTTTATGGAATGATTTGAATTTAGTTAAACTATTTATGTTTTTCGATTTGTGAGGAGGGAGGAATTTCTGATTTGGAAAGGGAGATTTGGGCGATCAATTTTTGCTGGATTTGGTCTCTGGAGAAAAAAAATTTGTGTTTGGGAACAATAAATAAGTTTGTTGCTATTTTTGGAGTTTGATGGCGTGGAATGAGCCAATTGGTGGGTTGGAGCTGTTGATTAGCAGTTAGAGTTCTTTTTGTGGGTCTTGTTTTGATTTTGAACTTATTCCAGATTATTGGGGATTCTCTTTTGTCTTATTGTTGTTGAGCTTGATTTTTGGTTGAATGGATGATACTGAGGATGATGCGAGGTACCCTCCAAATCCATACGGTGTTGGTAACCAGCAGGGTTATGGTTCTTCAAATCGCCAAAAACTTCCTGTAAGGAATGCTCCATATTCTAGAACAGTTGGCAATCAATACATTGATGATGATGAGGATGATGAAGAAGATGATGATTTTGTGGAGGTAGAGGATAACAACAGAAATAATGGGGTTAGA